GATCCACCTGCCTCAGTGTCACAAAATGCTGGGATTACAGGGATGAGCCACCATGCTCAACCAAAGGTTCTATTTCTTAAGTTTGGCATTGGGCACATGTTCATATGATTTAATGGTTTTTTTAAAAAAATGGTATCTTCCTGTTTTTTGTGGTGTTTTGGTTTTTGTTGTAGGCCTGCATGCTTCATTTGTTCACCCATATGAATCCGTAAAGAAGTAACCATTAGCAACTTCAGTCAATATATACTAGATTTATACTTTAGGAAGACAATCCAGTTGACAACCACAGCAGTTTCTACGATGACAAAAGTCAGAGAAAATACTGACATGAGGATCATTTCTAGAAAGTTCAATCATAAGCTATATCCCCAAGCAAAAATATACACACAGAAAAGCTAAGTAAGAAGCTTTTAGAAAACTACTACCATCCTTAGAGTAAGTACAACAAAGTATTCTTTTATGTCTTTGTTTTTTTCATCAAAATACCTCATACAGCCATAGATTTTAAACCATTACATCTTATCTAGATTCCGTATTAGATCATTAACATTTTTTCTAGATTCCATTGTTATTCTTTTGTAACCTTTATTTTAGGTATCTTAAAAATACTTTATTAAATATAACACATTCAGAAAAGTACACAAAATATACCTTAAGGTAGACCTTAACAAGTTACTCTAAATTATGTGCCCATTTAACCACCAGCCTGCTCCAGAAAGATATTAGAGCCAGGATCCAAGAAGCCCATAGATGTATCTTTCAGTTCACACCTCCCTACCTCCAACCTAGATGGACTCCTTAACCTACCCTGTGTGTAATCACCTCTTTTTTCTTGATAGTTTTACTGCCCAAGTATGAATCCATAAATAAGTGTTTCTCAGTTCTCTTTTCATTTATGTTCTATGGCCCTTTGGAGGGCAGCAGACCATGATAATAGGTAAGATTTTCTGTCACTCTAAGGAACCAGTTTTTACTCCACTACAGGAGATATTGCCTCCACTAAGAATGTATGCCCTAACCAACATGAGTTTTGCCTATTTTTGAACTCTATATAGAGGGAATTGTACAAATTAGGTTTTGGGGGTCTGGTCTCTTTTGTTTAACATAGTGTTCAAGATTCGCCCATCTTGTCCCACATAGCTGTAAGCCATTTTATGAATACCACAATTCTCCATTTTACTGGAATGAACATTTGGGTTATTTTCTGTTTGGGGCTATTATAAACAATGCTGCTCTGAACATTCCTGTGTCTCCCGGCACCTACGTACTCATTCTTGTGGTGTATATATCCACAAGATTCCTGAACCATAGGGTATGAGTATCTTCCACTTTACCAAACTGTTTTCCAAACACTTGTACAAATATACACCCATTAGAAGGATATAGAGTCTCATAACAATTTTCTTACCTTAAAAGATAAGCAAAATGTCTCCTATCCCTTGTTTTTCTTTTAAGATCTGAAGATCACTGTGCAAAGACAATTTGTTTGCAATTCAAACAAAAATATTATTATTATTATTTTTACTAACTCAAAAATGAACCAATCAGAAAGTTAAAATTGAGCACCCAGGGTAAGTTCCAGAAAGAGGAGATCTTAAGCTTCTCTATATCCCTGGGAAAAAATAGAGGCCACTATAGCTTCCAGCTCCTTTAGAATAAATGTCCCAAAGAGATCATAATAGCCTAAATCTAATCTAATAAGAGGGTTCAGAGTTTGTAGTCATTCTAAAGGAAAATAGTCACATGTATATAATTTTCTCAAGAATTCAAAAAAAAGTTTAATATGCTTTCTTAAACTTGTATTATTAGCCAAGGTGTTCAAGTAGAAAAATTTGCCATGGACAGAACTGTCAAAAGTTAAATCACTAAAAAATCAGTATTTTTCTACAAGTGTCCTATATATACATATCCAATATGTATCCCACCCCCCACTCTCTCTTTTTTTTTGTTTTATGAGACAGGGTGTCTCACTCTGTCACCCAGGCTGGAATATAATGGTGCAATCACAGCTCATTGCAGCCTTGACTTCTCCAAGCTCAAAAGATCTTCCTGCCTCAGCCTCCCACCACCCCTGGTAGCTGGGACTACAGGTGTACTCCACCTATATATTTTTAAAGTAATAACATAACTACCTCCACAATGAGAGTTGATTATGTTGCTTTCAAAACTGGGGGAAAAAATAAAAATCAACTTGGGAATCATTCCCTGTATAATGAAATGTATTAAACTTATTTACTTATCAAGCAATATTGCTCAAGCTTTTTGCCAGAAGATAAAAATCCTGTAAATGTTCACTCTATCAGGAAGATGACAAAATATTCCAATGGACCTATAAAAACAATTTCTTTAAATCCAAAAACAAGCAAACTCATCCTATCTTACCCCCTATATCTTTTGGAACTTGATTGTGTTTGAGTTTCAGAAAATAAAATTAGTAAACATTTCCATTTCTGTCCAGTTTTAAGAAATGACATTTATAATCTGACAACAGAAAAGAACAAAAGAACAATCAGAAGAGCAGGGATTTAGAGATCCTTACCTGTCTTATAACTCTGTGATCTGTATATGTCCCTGAGCTCTTCCATAAGTCTATCTGAAGCTTGCACTGACCCAGACACTGCAGCCTGAAACACAAAAGCCACTGTTTATCAGGGTCTACTGAACCAACTAATTTGAAGATTTAAGGTATTTCAACCTGCTCTAAAAGATTACAGTAGCCAGGCAGGGGGCTCACATCTGTAATCACAGCACTTTGGGAGGCTGAGGAGGGTGGATCACGTGAGGCCAAGAGTTTGAAACCAGCTTGGCTGTCAGGATGAAACCTCATCTCTACTAAAAAAATACAAAAGTTGGCCAGGCATAGTTGCACGTGCCTGTAGTCCCAGCTACTCAGGAAGCTGAGGCAAGATAATCACTTGAAAATGGGAGGTGGTGGTCATAGTGAGCTGAGATGGTGCCACTGCACTCTGGTCTGGGTCACAGAGTGAGACTCCATCTCAAAAGAAAATGAAAAAAGAAAAAGATTACAATAAAAATGGATCACCACTCAACAATTTTAGAAGTTAAAAAAAAAAAGTCCAATTAAATGAAGCATTATGAAGTTTCAAGAGAATATAAAACCAGACACAAGTCTGGTTCATTTCCTTTACTTATCACCTAAAAAAGTCTAGCCAACATATTCAGACCACCATGGACTCCATGATAGCATAGAATTCAGTATGAGTCTATTCCAAACCCCAGAAATTTTTGAAAATACTAGAAGACACTCAAGGTGACACATTATTAACTAAAATAGGCTTCATTCATAAGACTACAAGCAAGAATATTACACAGATGGTCTAGTTCACATATTAAGACACTGAGAACCATGTGTGCCTACATGCAACTGGTTTCAGTTTTTCAGTGCAGGGACTTCTTTAAAGATGAAAACACATCAATATCTTATCTTAAGACTAAATAGAAATGGAACTACTTTTTGGTCATGTGAAACTAAAGGTTTTAAAGACTTTACTAGACTTTGAAGGAGAAAAAAATCAAATTTATAAAAATATTACTCCTAGCTATGTAATCATGAACTCATTTCATATCTATAAAACATGAGAACGTTTTCCTATCTCTAAAATATAAAGAGCACCTATTTCACACAGTGGCTATGATGAATAAATGAAAAGATCTATAAAGTATAAAGTATTTAGCATAGTATCGGTCATACAAAAGTGTTCAATAATTTATACTTGTTTTGAAGATAACTCAAACTGGAATTGATCACAAGACACAGAAAGCACAGTAACAGTAATTCAAATGCTACAATCTTAGTTTTGTAAATAATCAAGATATGGGGGATTGGCTAAATTTCTTTGCTGTATGAAAAATTACCAATTAAATTAATATATAAATAAGATTGAAGGAGGGAGAGTTATCTATCTGATTTCAACATTTGGCATCTATTTGGCTAACAATTCATTCCCTGTTTTGGAGAACCTGTGCCCAAGACAAAGTAACTGGTCCTTGGATATTGTGGAGTTGGTAAATAGCTCTAGTACAAGGCAGGAAGCAGTAAGTGTTCAGACAATCATTTGATGCTTCCCTACTCTGTCTAAGCATTTTATGTATATACATGCATCATTTTAATTTATTTTTCATAGCAATCATCCAAAAGATACGTATTGTCTATCATATTTTAGAGTTGAGCAAAGTGAAACCATATGTGTGTCTGTCTCCAAACTCAGTGTTCCTTTCCCATCCTGCTGCTTCACATAAAAGAGATGTTAAGTCAAAAGAGAAACATTACTTTTGGTTCGGTCAGAGCAGGATGGACCAAAGTCAGCTTCATGAAGGAGAAATAATTTGAGTTGTGTTTTGTAGGAGAGAATGAATTTGAATATACAGATGCCACAGAAGGTTTTCTCAGCAGAGAAAACAGCATAGACAGCTGGAAAGGGGCATATACAGGGATCAGCAGGTGGTTCAGGATGTGAAGAGCAGATGAACAGGGTAAAAAGTGGGTATTCATAGATGAGAAAGATAACCTTGGGCAGCGAAGCATATGAGTGTGGCTGGGCATGGTGGCTCATGTCTGTAATCCCAGCACTTGGTCAGGCCAAGGTAGCAGGAGTGGTTGAACTCAGGTGTTCAAGACCAGCATGGTCAACATAGTGAGACCTCATCTCTACTAAAAATCAAAAAGTTTAGCCTGGTGCGGTGCCACATGCCTATAGTCTGAGGCACTTGGGAGGCTGAGGCAGGAGGACCACTGGAGGCAGGAGTACCACTGGAGCCTGGGAGACCAAGGCTACAGTGAACTATGATTGTGCCACCGCATTCTAGCCCAGACGACAGAGCAAGATCCTGTCTCAAAACCAGTAAACAAATGACTGAATCCACCACTAAAGCAGGAATGGAGAAGGAGAACAGCCAAGATCAGCATGTTCATGAATTGCCTGGTGTTAACTATAATTACTTGACCAAAAAGTCCAGGCTCCAGATATTTATACACACTTACACATTTAAATGGTCTTGCCTTTCAGTCTTCCTAATTTTCTCTAATATTGCCCAATTTTCTTTTTCAATTCCTTCATCCTCCAACTTTTTCCCACTAATAGGCTCTTCTTTCATCTCATAGTGATCTAAGTTCTTCTATATCCTGCAAAAAAAAAGAAAAATGTTAGCTTATTCAACCTATTTTTCTTCAGCAGTTTCTTACGCAAAAGTTAAATTATTCTTGACTCAATGGTGGACAATAAACAGAATATATCTATCCTATGGGGAGAGAGAAAAAGCCCCACATTCCATTCAAGAGGCTCTCACCTTTTATATCCTGTATTTCATTTAATAGCTAGACTCTGGGTAAAGCAGATTTAAATCTTTACAAAGTCACAACTATTATGAAATAAGCCATCATTTATTTATTGACTTCTTTATTTATTTTATTTTATTTTTTTTAAGATAGAGGCTCACTCTGTCACCCAGATGGGAGTATAGTGGGGCAATCTCTGCTCACTGCAACCTCTGCCTCACAGGTTCAGGTGATTCTCATGTCTCAGTCTCCTGAGTAGCTGGGATTACAGATGTACACCACCAAGCCCAGCTAATTTCTTTGTATTTTCAGTAGAGACAGGGCTTCCCCATGTTGGCCAGGCTGATCTCAAACTTCTGATGTCAAGTGATCTGCCCACCGCAGCCTCCCAAAGTGCTGGGATTACCAACGTGAGACACCACGCCTGGCCAAGCCATCTTTGAAATCTCCTCTTAAGAGGAACCTTTGAAACAGTTTAGCAGCAGATGTCAAGAACCTTAACTGTTCATAGTTTGTTCCAGAAACTCGACTTCTAGAGTTGTATTCCAAGAAACCAGTCTAAGATGTAAACACAAATTTAGGCATAAGGATAACTATTTCAACCTTGCAACCACAAAAACAAACAAAATCTGCATGTGCAATAATAGTAAAACAGTTAACTCAATTCCTTTAACTATTAAGAGGCCACTGAAATACCAACACAGCATAATTTCTCCTGTATCAAAAAACTTTGAAATGAAAAATGGAATACACGTAGGAATAGAAAGAATTTCAATTATGCTGAAATAAGCACAGAAAAAGACCAGAAGAACTTATATTGAAAGGTTAATTTCAATTAATTTTAGTTGTTATCTCTGGAGACATTTGGTGCTTTCCCCTAATTTCCAGGTTTATGGTTTTATGTAGTAAGCATCTATTGATGTTAATAACTTTAAAATAAATTAGAAAAAGAATTTGATCTCAGGTGCTCAGGAGGCTGAAAAAGAAGGATCATCTGGGCCCAGGAGTTTGAGGCTGCAGTAAGCTATGATCATGCCAACTGCACTCCAGCCTGGGTGACAGCAACCCTATCTCAAAAACTAATAATAATTTTAAAGGAATTTGAATAACACCCCACAGAACAACATCTTAATTCACATTATTCTGCTCCCTCCCTTCCCATACTATCTGTTCTTACACATATACAAATATATGCAGAATTGTTTAAATCCTAACTTTTTTCAATTACCTTATTTTTCCACTTCAACTGCCAAAATCTCTAAAGGAGTAGTTTATATTTATCTCGATTTTTTTTTCCAAGCTGGCTAACTAACCGATTTCTAGATCAGATTACTGACTACCTTCACTCAAACTCTGCCCATGACTCTGTACTTCATGGAGCTCCCTTCTCCCTGTATACACCTTTCAGCCCTGATCTTCCATCCTACACTTGTTTTTCCCCACAATGCTCACAAATGCCTTTGGCCTATATTTCCTCCTGTACCTTCAACTTCGGTCATGTTCCCATCCACAAAACTTCTCTACCTCAGTATTAATCAGCACATCCCAACAACGTATCTTTCTAAAACAATATTCTCAGCACACGATTCCCCGCTTAAAGCCTTCTTATCAACAAACACAACAAATAGAAATATGCCTATCTCAAATTCAAGATTCTATCCATCTGCCTTTTCTGGAAAATCTTGCATTCCATGACTTCAACACATCAAACTTCCTTCTCAAAACAAAAGCATCCAATGCACCAAAACACACCATGTCCAAAGTCATTCTGGGCCTGTTCCCATGTTGTTTTAGGAGCCTAGAATATCTGCTTTTCACCTGTCCTAATCTGACACCTCCAAAGTCCAGTCTCCTGCCTTTATAGATTTCCCTCAAAGTTGTGGTCCCTTGTTTTTCATCTTGTGAAGGGAAAATGAAAGGGTTCATGAACTTTAGTACAATGGCTGCCTGACCCATGGAAAAGGTTTAATGTTTACATGCAGCTTAATCCACCTAAGCTAAACTGCATAAAAACATTGAAACAGACTCTCATTCTAATTGGACAATTTTAAGAAGTATTTTACTCCCAGACTCATAAAACAAGCCTACAGCCAGGCACAGTGGCACACACCTGTAATCCCAGCACTTTGGGAAGTTGAGGTGGTGGATCACCTGAGGCCAGGAGTTCAAGACCACCCTGGGCAACAGAGCGAGACTCAAATGCTACAAAAAATAAAAATAAAAAAAATTAGCTGGACATGGGGCACAGGCCTGTAGTCCCAGTTACTCAGGAGGATTGCTTGAACCCAGGAGTTCAAGGTTACAGTGAACCGTGACCATGCTACTGCACTCCAGCCTGGGTGACAGTAAACCCTGTCTCAAAAAACAAACAAAAACAAGGCTACAACACTACTTTTTTAGTTCTGAATCCCTCTAATGTATATTTTACATTAAAAATTTCCAAACCAAGAAAATGAAAGCCTAAATTAATTATAAGACCCCAAACAGAAAAAAATCTTTTAAAACAATCAAGACCATGGAATTCACATACATTCTATTTGGTCAATGCAGAGACATAGAAGATCTTTGTTCCAAAGTTTAAGTTTAAATGAAAAGCTTCAGAGCCTAAAAACATCTAAAAGTATACCCATGACTGACAACTGGCCTAGGCTCATTGTCTTTGGAATTTGCTCTACTAAATTTGCTACTGTATGAATGTATTCCCTCCAAAATTCAAGTGTTGCCAATGTGATGATATTAAGAGGTAGGTCTTTTAAGAATGATTAGGCCAAGAGGGCTCCTTCCTCCTTCATGGGATTAAGGCCCTTATGAATGAGGCCTCACACGTTGGACTAGATTGCTCTCCTGCCCTTCTTCCTGCTACCATGTGAGGATGCAATGAAAAGGCCCTGAGACACCAAATGTTGATATTTTCATCTTGGATTTCCCAGACTCCAGAACTGTCAGAAAATAAATGACTGTTCTTTATAAATTACTCACTCTCTGTTATTCTGTTACAACACTATAAAACAGACTAAGACAAATTTCTTTGAATGATTTTTCAACAAGAGACAGTTTCACTACTTCTGGCAAGTGGTCCCTTAAATATTCTCAAATTCTCCTTTTATGCAAACATAAAATTTTTTCAACTCAGTAGTTTCTCTTCCAAAAAATAACCAAATACAGGTTAAGTACTGATTAGTATTAAATATAATTTTAGTGCTAAAAGTTAAGAGCTTTTGTTCTCCAGAAAATCAAATCCAAGAATTCAGATAAAACAATTTGCTCAAAGGCATATCATGAGTTAGAGGTAAAGCTAAAATTTATAAGTTACATTCCATTCCAAATATGATGTGCTTTCAATTATTCTACATTAATATTTATTTATAAAGAAGATTAGAGAATGACTCAAATGTTCAAAACTGAAGATATTTATGATTTTTTTTTTTTTTTGAGACAGAGTCTCACTCTTGTCGCCCAGACAGGAGTGCAGTGGCATGATCTTGGCTAACTGTAACCTCCACCTCCTGGGTTCAAGCAATTCTCCTGCCTCAGCCTCCTGAGTAGCTGAAATTACAGGTGCCTACCACAACGCCCAGCTATTTTTTGTACTTTTAGTAGAGGCAGAGTTTCGTCATGTTGGCCAGGCCGGTCTCAAACTCCTGACCTCAGGTGATCCAACCACCTTGGCCTCCCATAATGCTGGGGTTACGGGCATGAGCCACCTCACCTGGCCAAAATGTTATTCTTATATAATATACCTACTTCAGCCATCTCTTCTTCTTTCTCTTCTTTTGAAGTCACTTCTTCTGTTGTCCCATTCTGAAATAGAGAAAAAATCTGCCAGGGTTACACAGAACAAGTATGCACATTAGAAGACTGGTGTAATAGCTTTAGGAACAAACTCCAGATGTGTATAAGAGACAGCATTAGAAGACTGGTGTAATAGCTTTAGGAACAAACTCCCAACCATCTGTCACTGCAGTCCCACTACCAGAGAGCTTATTAAAATTAAAATGTGCATTTTAAAATCCAACTTTGATTTGACAAACAACAGTTCTCAGCTTTTAAAAATGAAACAATTTTGAACAATTCAACTTAATGGATGTCTTAGGAATAAAGGAAAGCAATCAATCAAACATAAAGCAAAACTGAAAAAAATTTTAAAACATAATCTAATTTAAAATAAGAAAACATTTTACTTGTATGGCTATGTGCATAAGATCAAAGGCTTATTTTGTTTAAAACAAATGTCCCAAACTATCAATTCCTCAAAACAGCTACCTTTTTAACTTTGAAAAGCCTGAATCATTACATAAATTCAATTTCCTTACATTTTAAGAGGTCAGATGTGTTACTTATAATAGACACTTCCCAAAACTAAGAATTATGAAATGATTACCACCTCACTATAAAGGAAATTTTCTTTTAAAAAACATGTAATTTACTATCAAATATCTCTCTACAAGACATAATTTACCAATTAACACAAATTACAATTATCAAGTTCAGAAATGAATGTAATGAATTTTTAGGAAGGGCCTTCATAGCCAGTTTGGGCAAAGTTCAAAAGACAAGCTTCCTGGTCAGGACACAGTATATAAATGTATCTTCAACCATAAAGGCCAGTTCAGGTTAGAATCCAGAATATGTAAAAGATCAAGAAACTAGGATCCAGAAATCAAGATCAACAAAACTGTCAGCAGTATGTAAGCAGCAGCTTCCAAAATGTAATCCACCCCTTTTTCACTTCCCTAAATTATTATATTACAAATTCAATTATTCTGGGTATCTAAAGAATATATACCTAGCCTCAAAATCCCAAAGAGTTTGGTTGCATCAATGGTTGAAAGAGCATTTTTGAAATGCTAATTTCAAAGCCTACCCAAAGAATCTGTTTTGCAAAACTCTCTGAGGTGATTCTCACATGCATCTGGGTCTGTCACCACTAGCCCAGTTACCAGCCTTCATTCTACACATGAGAAAGCTGAGCCCCCACCCCCTCAAAAAGGGGAAGTAATTTAATCAAAACAAAAAGTGAGTTAGGGCTGTGAAATCCTAAGATTTATTTCATTTCGAGGTGTGACCTGGTCCTCTTTCTAAAACCCCACTGAAATGACAGAATTTTATAAAAGAGAGTAAGTTCGCTGCAGCAGCAGCAAAACAACAATACAAAAAGAATACCCTTAGTGAACCAAAACTGTAAGGACATGCTGGAAGACACAAAGCAGATGGAATCAGACTGCTGGGCTCGAGAAAACCACAAACCCAATCCAAATAATGGAGGGACCACTTTTGTTGGAAGAATCAAACATTCTTCATCATACTTGTCCCAACTATAGTTGGTAAGAATCACTCCGCTAATAGGAAGCCTATCTTGAAGGTCTCTTACTATGACTGTCAAAACCAGAGAGAAAAGACAGAATGTTTTTTAATATAACTCAATGCAGCAGCAAAATCTTATAACAGACTCTGCCTCTTCATTTTTGCTCAAAATCTGGAAAGCTCACCGGCCAGCACCTCCCCATCCTCATGCCACAGGAAGAGCACAGGTCTGCAAACCAGGAGGGGGAGGTAACAGCAGAAAAGAGTGACAATTCTGAAGACACTCATAACTACTCATACTGCTCAAAGGTATACCTCATGTATAAATGAACAGATAACCATGTATCATCAGAGAGTTGAAGAAAATTAGCAACCTGAAAGGAAGGTGCCAAGTCAAAGAAGCACAAATGACCTGAAGCACTGCTAATGAAGGAAATAAACAGAATTGTAAAACCTAATTGGAATCTTTAGCAGTAATTGAGAAGATACTGTATCCACAAAATACAAAACAGATTACTATGTAAAAGACAATTCTAGGAGGTAAAAATAAGACCCCCAAATCAAAAAATGAAAAAAAAAAACCACTTGTAGAAGGGCCAGAGCACAATGGACTTGACTCAGCAAAGCATTTAAGGTGACTCATGTCTGTAATCCCAGCATTTTGAGAGGTTGAGGTGGGTGGATCATGAGGTCAGGAGATCGAGACCATCCTGGTTAATGTGGTAAAACCCTGTCTCTACTAAAAGTACAAAAAATTAGCCAGGCATGGTGGCACATGCCTGTAGCCCCAGCTACTCAGGAGGCTGAGGCAGGAGTATCACTTGAACGTGAGAGGTAGAGGTTGCTGTGAGCCAAGATCGCACCACTGCACTCCAGCCTGGGTGACAGAATGAGACTCCATCTCAAAAAAAAATAAAAAATAAAAGGAAAACCCCCACACTTTACAGTTACACAGAAAATCATACTAACTATCAGAAAGAACTGAGAATCAGATAGGCATCAGAGTTTTCATCTATAACAATAAATATCAGAACATAAAAGAGTAAAGACCTGGAAAGAAACTCAATTATGACCTCAGAATTCTATATCTAACTCCCTCAAGACAGGAAGCCTATCTGTGTATGTTTGCCTCCAGATTCTCCACATTGATATGGATGGAGTACTTTATACAGAGTCAGATATTTGTTGAACAAATGATAGCAGACAGTAAGTTCATGGAACACACTCCATACACATCCCCACAAACCCTTTCTAGGGGGAAAAAAACCCAGGATATTATTCAGGGATATACTTGAGGGGCAGGGAGCAGGAGACATAATACAAGAAGTAGCAATAAGCAAAGACAACAGTAACACCAATAGTGAAGTGTAAATGATTGCTAATAATCTAGCTGAAAGGTCACTTGCCATATTCTCTGACCATACTGATGCACTAAAAATAACTCAAAAGCCACCTGAAAATGCTTTTTAATTTTTTTTTCTAAATAACTCTTGGGTAAAAGAAGAAATTGATCCTCATGCCTCAATCATCCAACTCCTAAGTATGTGCCCCAGAAAAATGCTGGCACAGGGGTACCATGAAATATAGACAACAATGATCATAGCAGCATTCGCTGTTCCTAATAACACTGAAAACAACCCACATGTCTGTATCTAGCCAAGGGGATAAATGGAATGGTGTATTCAAACAATGGAGTAAATACAGCAAAGCAAAAGAACGATAGCTACGCACAATAGGAACAAATTTCACACACAATATTGAGCACAACAAAGGTATGAAAAAATACATATAGCATGATTTTCAAAAGTTTAAACAATAGGCAACACTACACTGTATTGTTCAAGGATGCATATGTGAGCAATAACACTAGAGAAACATAAGTTTTCTGTAGTGCAAGCAGCGTGCCTTTTCTTCTTCACCTCAGTGCTGGCTAGGTGTTGGTTCCCAAGTACTCACTCTAACTATATGTTACAATAAGCTTATGTTTTACATAGTTTCAATACATGTCATATCTCACAATAAAAAGGTTTTTTTTTTGGTGGGGGCAGAGTTTTGCTCTTATTGCCCAGGCTTGAGTGCAGTGGCACGATCTCAGCTCACTGCAACCTGTCTCCCGGATTCAAGCGGTTCTCCTGCCCCAGCCTCCTGAGTAGCTGGATTTGTAGGCATGTGCCACCACACTCAGCTAATTTTTGTATCTTTAGCAGAGATGGGCTCTCTCCCTGTTGGTCAGGCTGGTCTCGAACTCCTGACCTCAGGTGATCTGCCTGCCTTGGCCTCCCAAAGTGCTGAGATTACAAGCATGAGTTACCGTGCCCGGCTAATAAAAAGTTTTAATAGTAAGAGCAATGAGAACATTGGACGCAATAAAATGACTTAGAAAATACAAACTGTTTAGAAAATAGATTTTAAAACTTGTGTAATAAAGTCAAACAGCACCCAAAGAAAATATATATTCTTACATGTTTGTTTAAAAAGCAATTTAAATTACATTGATCCACTAAACTAGAAAAAGTAAAATAAAGAAAAAGGGGAAATAATTAAGACATAAGGAAAATGTGAAAAGAAACCTACTAAATTTAAAAAATAAAACTAAAGGAGGATTCTTTCAAAAGACTAAGATAATAAAACAATCACGCCTCTGATAAGTGATCAAGATAAAGAAAACTTTGAAGGGAAAAGGGCATAGAGCCACATGTTAGTATGATGTAAAAAGTGAAAACTTTACACATCTTTACAACACCTTTGAAGTGTGGAAGAAGTGCTCATTTCTTTTAAGAATCTACAGTAATGAAAACTAACTGAAGAAATGGAAAATCTGGAGACCAATACACAAGAAGGAAAAAGACAGACTCATCCTCCAAATTGGACATTTATTTAAACCAGGGTTTGTCAGCCTCAGCAATATTGATATATTGGGCCAGACAATTCTTTGTGGAGGGTTCTCCTGGTGTGTTGTGGGACATTTAGTAACATCCCCTCTACCCACAGAATGCCAATAAGACCTCCCGACCATGGCCAGTTGTGACCACAAAAATGTCTCCAGATATTTCCAAACGTCCCATGGGAGGCAAAATATTCCTGCAGTTGAAAATTACTGTGTAAACTAGATTTACATCCTAGGTGTTAGAAAAAAAGATGTAAAGCTTCCCAAGTTAGCCCTGCATACCCTTGATACTGGAATGAAATAAGAGCCTTAAAGGAAACAAACAAAACTTTAATCTTATTTAATACAGAAGTAAAAAATAGAATAATACCATAGCCGTTCTAACAGTGTTTATTATAGGAATGCAAGGATGATTCAAAATTGGGAAAATTTCATCAGGTAATTCACAAATTATATTTCTCCATGGAATTGTAGGCACAATCATGAAAAACAAGGTAGCTCTATATGCATTAAGTTCATGTGATATTCAGTGGAAAATACAAGTTGCATATGTCTTATAGAAAAAAACTGAACACTGAACACATATTTTTACTATTTGCTCTTTGCCCTGAGGCTCCACTAGAAATACAGTGAAGAAGAAACATTATATAAACACACAATTACAAAAAAAGGAATGGGGTTACCAACAGAAGATAATTCACCTCCATTAGACAACGACAGTAGATGGAAAATGGTTAATTAATAGAGCAAAGCAAACAAAAGTGGAGGTCAGAGGGATACCAATTACAAGTAGGCTAATTTGTCCCACAGCAACCTGGAAAAGTTCTAGACTCAGACACCAGGTATCCCCAAGGGTGGGACTGATAGGCAAGACTGAAAACAGAGATTAACAAAAAGCCTACATAGAGAACACATTTTCCAGGCCCTGAAACACACTACTCTCCCCCATCTCCTTAAGCAGAACCCAAGCAAACTTATCTACCTCAGACAAGAGAATGTAGATATCACCTCCAGAGGAATGGAGTAGTTCCAGCCATCATTTATGATTGCACTCGGAGATAAGATAGAGGGGTAGAGGATAACAATCAGGAATCAGCATATATTCCCCCTAAAAGCCATCAGTTGCCAAGTATTGGCCATGAAGAACTCCTACTCAATTTTTTATTTTTATTTTTTATTTGTATTTATTTTATTTATTTATTTATTGAGGCAGGGCCTTGCTCTTTCACCCAGGCTGGAATGCAGGAATGCAGTGGGATGATCACACCTCACTTCAGCCTCAACATCCCAGGCTCAAGCGATCCTTCTGCCTCAGCCTCCCAAATAGCTGGGACTACAGGTGGGTATCACCACACCTGGCTATTTTATTTATTTATTTTTTGTAAAGATAGGGTCTCACTATGTTGCCCAAACTAGTCTTGAGCTCCTGGGCTCAAGTGATCCTCCACATCAGTCTCCCAAAGCACTGAGATTGTAGGTGTGAGCCACCACACCCAGCCTCTCAGTCTTTTAGTACCTCTCCCAAATATGAATGAACAAGAATGGGAATTACAAAAAGGAATACAGGCTGGGCATGGTGGCTCGTGCCTTTAATCCCAGCACTTTGGGAGGCCAAGGTGGGCAGATCACCTGAGATCAGGAATTCAAAACCAGCCTGACTAACATGGAGAAACCCCTTCTCCACTAAAAATACAAAAATTAGCTGGGCGTAGTGGCACATGCCTGTAATCCCAGCTAATCAGGAGGCTGAGGCAGGAGAATTGCTTGAACCCATGAGACAAAGTTTGCAGTGAGCCAAGATCACGCCATTGCACTCTATCCTGGGCAATAAGAGTGACACTCTGCCTAAAAAAAAAAAAAAAAAAAAAAAAAAAAAAAAAAAAAAAAAAAAAAAAAAAAAAAATTTTAAGGAAAGGCTTTAAAAAGAAAAATAAGACAAAAATAAACTAAGAAAAAAAAGTATTAAAGAACAAAGAGATGCTAGAGAGAAAACAAAAGAGTATCAAAATCACTTCATAAAGACACTTGTGAATGTATTATATGAATAAAACAAAAATAGAATATGAATAAGGAATAATCAGAGAAGAAAAAGTTCTTAGAACTCAGGGTTCACCTTGGGAGTTGGTCCCCAATGAGCCACACCTCCTGTCATCATGTCTTTGAACAGGCCCATCCCACAGTGAATCTGGGTTGGCCCCAAGACTCACTTTAACCTAGAGAATTTGGTAGAAATGACACTGGACCTGTTCCAGGTCTAAGTCTTAAGAACATCTGGCAGCTCCGCTTCTGTGCTTCTGGAAGCCAAAACAAGTACTGACTATCCTCTTGGAGAAACAGAAGCCACAAGAAGAGGCCTGAGAAGATGAGATACTATGCAGAGAGGAAGGTCACATGAAGAAACACCAAGACAGCAGACCTGTGGGTGAAGAAGCCATCTCAGACACTCCACTGCAGCTGAGCATCCAGATGACCAGTCCCTGACACCATCTAACTGCACAGTGAGAGATGCCAAATGAGACCAGCAGAAAAACTGTCCAGCTATCCCCAGTTAACCCATACGGTAGTGACAGACAAATGTGTAGTTTTATGCCATTAAGTTTTGGGAAAATTGGTTAGGCAACAATAAATAACCAAAACAAAACTTAAAGTTATGACTGTCCAAATAAAATTTCCTAAAAGTCAAAAGATAAAAATATTCCAGAACTTAAAATTTAAAAAAAATTAGAAATAACGTGAGATACACGACTCAAGACAAAAGGACTAAAATCCAATTAACAGACACTTCAAAATGAAGAAACAAAACGGAAAGGAGAAAGTTAACAAAAATATGACAAGATTCAAGATTCCAACTTTGAAAGAGTCTATCCATAGGCCTGTCCATTCAGTGTACCCAGCACAACGAATGAAAAAAGACCCACATTAAGTACAATGTTGTGCTATTTCAGCTCACCAAGGAAAAGACAAACTCCTAAAAGCTTCCAGAAAGTCATGCATAAATGAGTGAAACTCAGGATGACATGAGGTTCCACCACCACAACTGGTTAGAAGACAACAGCACAGACTTTGAAATTCTAAGGTAAAATTATCCTCAACCTAGAAATACATAATCAACCAAACTATCCATCAAGTGTGAGGGTAGACTATGACAAAAGAGAATAGTGATGGGGATGTGCTATGCACCAGGCACTATTCTAAATGGTTTACATGTACCAACTCATTTAATCATCATAGCTCCCTAGAAACATAGGTACTAATACTATCACTGGTTCCCCCATTTTGCAAATGGAAAATTGATGCATAGAGCAATTAGGGAATCAGTCCAAGGGCATACAGCTAATAAGCAGTAGAACCAAGATTCAAACCTGTCTCAGACTGGCTCCAAAACCCAAACACTGGATTGTATTTTTTCAGAAGCTAGAGATCAGAAAATATACCACCCCATGCTTCCTTTGGGATTTACTTGAGGACATAGTCAGGTAAAATGACAAAGGGAAAGCCAAGAAAGATGACATGGGATCCAGGAAACTATGGATCTACTCTAGGAGAGCAGATGAGAAAAACCTCAAGATGACATCTGCACAGCCAACCCAAAGAACAATCTGCCAAAATGGGCACAGAGGAGCCAAAGGCTTTGGAAGAGAAGGAGATCTCACAGAAAAGGCTACAACAGAATTTTTTTATTTAAAAATTACTATTATGAGGAAGACACTGCAAAACAAAAAGCAGCACCAAGAAAACAAATATCCTATCCTAAATATTCTAGAAAACTTGGCTTTATAAAGTCCTAATCATAATTAGTGATAACTTATATGACTAACGATAATATTTGAGGAAGGGAAAGTGAGTGGTATAAGAACCAAATTCTCATGTGTTATACTAAAAAGTCAATAACTGATACCTAAATAGATAAATCCAGGAAGAAGTTAGGGGTAGTGGTGAGCTAGTGGAGATTTCTGTTGCTTGCAGGAGATAACATTTGGGCGAGTCCTTAAGAAGCATAGACAGACTTAAGGAGATGGCATTTCTAGGTGAAGGTAATTCAATGAACAAAGACAAACAATGAAAGAAGCAAGAACATTTATGGACACCAAGAATATTCACAACAAAAAGCTGGTGTTAGGGAAAAGGGCAATTTTTTACCTGTCATACTAAATGCTAGCAGCTCCAAAGAATGAAAAGGTTATTTTTAGTATCTAAAACAGAACAAACAAAACAATTCAATAGGAACAGAAAAACAAACTTCTAAATAAGTTGAATAATTTTAAAAAATCATCCTAGTTTGACTTTTTTTGAGACAATTTATTTTCACTCTTGAACACTACAGAATTTTTACTTTACCTGACCTATGGGTAGTGGTTGATCTGGCATCTCAACATCCAGGTGCTTAGGAAGGTTATCTAATCTGCAGAGTCCACATATCCAGCACTTCAATTGCTGATGAAGCTACAAAACACATCTCAGTAAATAAGCATTATGTTAAAGAGCCCTTAGAAGACATCAATAATGTTATGATTACTGTAATCAACCCAGTAGGAAATAAAAAAGTTTGTTATTACTCACCTACCACTTACAGATTTAAAAAAAAAAAAAAAACCCTTTAAAATATTTTCAGGAGGCTCTAGTTTAAGAAAGTTACTATGGCTTGGGGTATAATCACTACTACTGATACCTGGCAGAATGACAACAATAAAGACAGAGGATGGAAATTTCAGACATTGTCCAATTTCTCATTGCTACCTTGTTTTCCTAGAAACTTACAACTTCAAACAAGAGAACCTTAATACATTAATGAGGCTACCAAAAAGAAAAAGAAAAAAAACCACACACAGGCAGTGTTGTTACACATGGATTATAAAAGTATATATTTCAATCATAGTCAGTTAAAAGTACAAAAGCAAATGTAATCCAGCAGACAGAGCCTGGAAATCTAGATGACCTTGGATATCACATCTAATTCCCTGAGTTTGAGTCTACTGATCTGTAAAACAAAGAAATGAAAACTTTCCCAGAATGATAAAGATTAAATGAAAACTGTAAAACATTTGATATTTAGTAGGCTCTTAAGTGTCTGTCTAAAAAATAATAATTCACTAGGAAACTGCAACGAATAACTAAATTTCCATGTTTAAGTCCAAATTGTATTGTAAGCACATTTACTTTAAGGAAGTAAGCAAGGTAAACTATGTGCACAAGTGTGGTTTTCATTGTTTAAAATGTTTTTCAATGTATAAGGTGACTCAAATGGGATCTAATAAGGCAACTCACTTCACTTGGTCAGGAACAATTTTCTGGGTATCTCTGACCAAGAAGAGAGATAAAGAGAAAGAAGCAGGTTCACAAAGGACAAAGAAAGAAGACACAGGATTAGAATGGGTTAATGAAGCAAAGAATAAGCCTTCCCAAAGTGAACAATGAAGAAGGTGGAAACAGGAAGGTTGAACCATAA